TTGTTTGTTTGTTTTTAACTCCTGTCTACAAGGCTATCCACCTCATGAGTGACACTGTCTCTTCTGATGAGGTCTTTTTATCATGTTAAAGACATCACATCATTAGCTGTTTCTCCAATTTATGCCAATGTCACAACTGAAAACATTTTAAGCAAAATTATCTTTGAGCATCTTTGCTAATTAGTTCCCTCTGGGGAACTAATGCGTTGTTCTGTACCAGATGCATTGTAGAAGTCCAGAGACATGAAATCGGTGTTTCTCTTGCCTAGAAAAAACATCTGTCAAAGAAAGTTACTAGGTTAATGTAGTGTCAGCTATCTTATGTAAATCCACATTGTATTTTGTTTCATTTTCCTTTTGTAAGACTACTTGTTACAATATTACCTTCAAAGTTTGTTATGTAGCCTGTTTTGCTGGATTTGTAGATGTCAGGAATGTATCACACACAGAATCACTAGGTTGGAAAGGACCTTCAAGATCATCAAGTCCAACCATTAATCCAGCGCCACCATGTCCCCTAAACCATGCCCTGAAGTGGACATGGAAATGTATGTCCTTTCTGTATTTTATTACAGTGACTCTGTTTTCTCTGACAGGTTTCAGTCATGTGATGCTTCCCTTGATGTATCAAAAGCATTGCTGTGAGATTGGCAGCCTCATGCATGAGTTCTTGAGTATTTTTATGATGGATATAATCTACCAGCTTGAGGTTTTGTCCCTCATCCCTCTTCCATCCCCTAGGCATCATCGTTTTAATGTCCTAATTCTGTATCTCTCATGCTGTAATTTCTGCTTTCGGCTTTTTTCACTCCTTGAAAACTTTCTTCCCACTTTTAAAAAAACAATTGTTTATCCAGTTAGATCTGCAGTCCTTCCCTACAATTCTGCCCTTGCTCAAGAATCAACATGCCACCATGCTTTGTGTCAAATAAATTCTGTCTTCTCCTTAAGTAAGTCCCTGCGTACTCAGATCTAACTGACTGGAGTTAGGAGCAGGTAGTGTCTTCTTTATACCCTCTTTCATTCTGTTCCTAAACTGCTCATTTTGTCAAGATTCAGTTGCTGAAAGCTCTCTTATTTTTGACAGTCTGTCTCCTGTTACCCCGCATACTTTGTTTCTGCCCTGCATGTCCATAGCAGAACACGTTAATGTCAGAGGTGCTGCTACTTACTCTGTGGAAGTTACTTGCAAAGTTATTGATAATCATCATGTTCTTCTAGAAGAAGTTGCTGTTGGAAGAAGGGAGTTCATGTACAGCTGCGATTGTTTTATTTTATTTTTTTAGAAGCATGGGTGTGGCATTAGCATTTCGGAATAGTTAGGCATGTCATTACTTGTGTTCATTGGGCAATAGTGCAACAAATGTCTGTGTAAGACATTTGTTTTCAACAGCCTGGCAATACGTTCATAAGCTTGTGCCAGTACTGTCTTCCTTCTGGCAGCTCACACACTTGCTTGTTCACAGTCTTGCCTCAGACCAACCTGAACATTTTCTTATAACATATGTGACCCTTCCCAACTAGAACCCTCCTTTTTTTGGCATCTTTATTCCCATGTGTGATGCAATTATTTGCTTCCCACTAAAATGTCCTAGGTCCTTTGTTTGAGACATGCAGACTTTTCCTCTTTGTTATCTCCTGTTGGGCCACTGTAGCACGTGTCCTTGCCCAGATCATCTTGCAAGTACAGAAGCCAATAATTGAAAATGAAGTATTGTTTGCACTCTTAAATTACTAATGAAGCCACAAGATAACATAGAATTTTGAGCTTTGGCCCCCTTTACTCTCACTTGTTAATTCTTGCCCAAGATTTAGAAGGTAAACTTTTCAAGGCAGTGATGATATCTTTATTTGTCTATAAAATGATTGCCACAGTTTGGGGCGCTATTTTAAGGCTTTGTCAAGGCTTTTTGCCCATTGACGTCAGCTTCAAATACTTTCTCTTTGGAACACTATTTGCCACTCTCTAACAATTCCCTTTTTCCCTTGCTACTCTTACCTGCTTTTGTTTTCTTGGCTTTAAAATAACTTATAGATTGCACAAGTTAAAAAACGGTAGGGGCTTACAGAAGTTTGTGAATTGAGTCAGTGACTCGAAACAAAAGTCATCTTTTTTGTACGTTATTTTACACACAGCAAGTCAATAAAAAAAGACTCTCTAGTCATAGCTCAATACAAAATAAAATCTTAAGACAGGCGTAGAAGGTCAGTTTTGCCCCCATATCTTGTCTTTAAGAGGGACCTTTAGCAGATGCTTAAGAAAGGAGCTCAAGAAACAAGAAGAGAGTAGTGTAAACCTTCCCCTTGCATATCCTTTCCACTTCTGAAAGCGAATGGCTTAGGGACTTCCAGAGCCCAAGACTCTATCTGGACCATTGTTTGTGATAGCTGTCTGTGCACATATCCTCCATGAATTTGTCTAAACCTTTTTTGAACTCATTTATGTTTTTGGCTTCCATAGCATCCTGTGGCAATGAGTTCCACAATTTAATTATGTGCTCTGTGAAAGAGTACTTCCTTTTGTTTGTTTTAAATCTGCTGCCTGATAATTTCATTGGGTGCCCGCTTGCTATGAGACATAATAAATAACAATTTACTGTTTGCTTTTTTCATGTTTTTCTTGATTTTTATAAACCTCTACTATAGTCATCTTAATTTGGAAAACCAATGACTGTATCTGGTGAGTTAAAAGCCGTAGTCCAGTCAGTCTCTGTACGGAGACTGTTCTGAAATTTGGATAATCCTTTCTCACCCTGAGGTGAATTTGTCTTGGTGTTCCCATGTCTTCATGAGGTGAGATGACCAAACCGGTGTGTATTACTTAACATGTGGATGCACTGGGATCTAGTAATATTCTATCTTAGTGTAATCTCTTTTGTGGAGCATGGCTTTTCTTAACTTCTACTCCCAAGATCAGCAGAAGCCTAAAAGCTGCTTGGTGTACTCAGTATAAAGCAGTGTTGTAGGTCAGAGGCATGTTTTCCTCTGGTAATGAAGGTTTATTGCTTATATGCTTTAAATTCGTGCTCAGGAGTTGAAAAGGTGATATGGCATTCATGCCTCTTCTGATCTGAGGGGCACAAAACTAGAATAGCCACAACTTAATGCCTGTGAATTAAGTTGTGAGCTGGAGTAGTTGTGAGGCGTCATTGTGCTGGAGGGCATTGTGCTTTGTGTCTCCATAAGGTGTGCGCACTGAGGCTTCAGCTCATGTGATTTAACTAGGGAACCTTCATGGCAACATTTCACTAGTAGGTCTGGAGGAGTCATGTCTGCATATTCATTCAAGGTCCACATTTTCATTCCGAGTGGGTTCATTACTGTGCTAGTTTAGATCACGAGTGCACTCATGGAATAAGTTTCTTGATTGTGTCTGCTTACCATGGTGTGGTTTGTGTCTCAGAGATGGCAAACTGTCTTCCTTTCAATGAAACTCTACTAAAGAGATGCCCTTGGGGAGCATACTTAATGCACCCCAGCTGTTGCTGGGAATATACCATCCACGGGGCTAAACTGGAGCTAGGCCAGTGTGAGCTCCTCTGAATTGGTGTTGTCCTCAGCACTGTTTTCTCTACAAATACACTCCTCTTGCGCTGCACTATTTTCTAATGTAGGCATAGGCTACGCAGATCTGTGTAGGAGTTTTAAAACATTTTAAAACAGTATTAAACTTAGCATTAAGTTACTCATAGATGAGTCCTTCACCATGTATTGTAGAGCATCTCACAGTTAGCACCCCAGATCTTCACAGTGCTAACACATTAACCCAAGTACGTATATTGAGAGAATGTTATCTAAGGTCACACAAAGACATATGTAGCAGAGGTACCAAGTATAATTTGGATTGATTAAGTCTTAGTCTAATGCCTGTGTCAAAAACATCCTTTTCCCAAAATAGTTAAAAAGAAGGAAAATACTAACAGCTTTAATTCAAATAAGCATTGGGCTTTGTAACTGGAGAGTCCTTTCATAACTAATTCTTTGTGATATTTTTGCTGTGACATTTGATTGGCAAAACACACTGCTGCAAACATTCCAGAGCGATACTGGGACATCACAGATTGGTTTTGTCCCTCTGCAATTAAAGTCAATATTTCTTCTTTTCTGTTCAGGTTATTGTGCCATAGCTATTGCTGTGATCTCTGAGATACTCATCATTAAGTCGTCCTGGATTAAAAAAAAAAAAAAAAATTCAATATTCTTCTGTGTTTTTGTAACCAGCCATATGCTGCAATCCCTGCCTGTTACTCGAGGGACTTATTGTACATGTGTGTATTCCAAAGCAGCATTAAACCTGATCCAAACTGAAAATACCGTGTCTACACAGTAGACCAAGCAGTTCCAGAAACGTACTGAAATTATTGCATGTTCACAGCATATTTATTGCATGTAGGCACAGTAATGTGTCAGAGGGAGGAAAAGATACCAGCTAGGAGCAGTTTCTTAATATTTCTAGAGAAATTAACCCAGCCTGCATTCTTGCTCTTGGAAGCACAGTGGGCTAGAATCAGTTGTTTTAGTGGGTTTTGTGTGTCCCTTAAGCCTCAAGTAGAGCTTTCGTGCTGGCATGACAGAGAGAGGAGAACTTCTAACCAGACTCCTCTGCCTAGGAACAGGTAGAAGAAGAAAATGGTTTGCGCTTGTGGATCTTGTGTGTGCTGCATATGAGATTGAGGTTGAATACATTCTGTCTGGGGCTGAGTATTTCTTCTACAGTTTGGGTGGCATGAAATTGAACATGTGTTCTCATGAAATTTCTTCTGCAGCTTGAACCAGCAAAGAGGTGTACTAAAAAGAAACTTCTCAAGGAAGCATTATGTTATTTCTTTAATAAAAGTGAAAATAATTGCATTAATAAATTAGATGTCAGGCCATCATGCCTTTGGCTTGAAAGAATAATTTTATGACATTGCATTTTTTCATTTATGTCTGTATGAGTGAGAAGCTTAAAGCTGTGAATCAATGCAGACTTTAAGAACATGTTTATTTTTATCTCCTAGGCTACTCGACATGCAGAAATGGTCGCAATCGATCAAGTCCTTGACTGGTGCAAGCAGCAGAACAGAGATTATACAGAAGTGTTTGCACACTCGGTATTGTACGTAACTGTAGAGCCTTGTATCATGTGTGCAGCAGCTGTGCGCTTGATGAGTATCCTTTCATGCTTCTTCATGCTGGGAAGTCATATGTCAAAATGTTACTCTTTTGGCAGTGAGCCCTCGGAGGAGGGCTTGACACTGCCAGGCAAAGCCAACAGGGGTACCCCCTTGGTGCCCTTTGAGAGTCTGCACCCACCTCCATTTACTGCATGGTAAACGGTGAGAGACTCAAGAATGACAGAGAAATGGTGCAGTTATGACAAACAACAATTCCTCTTAGGGTAGTAAAAATACATTTGAGAGAGATCTGTTATTACGTAAAAGGAGCTAATCTCAGTTAACTGCTCAGTTTTGAATGTTGTAACAATTGGTAAACCATGGCTTTGTATGTCTCTGCTTTTGGGATTCATGCTTCTCGTTTTCTGAGGAAGGCCAGATGTGCCTCTTCAGCAATACATCTTAGATTACTCAGAAGTAACTTCTGATTTTTATGAGGGAGGAATTGTAGTGCAAACTAATTTAGTTTGTAAAGTACAAGCACATTTTAGTGAAATTTAATCACTACTTAAATGAGGCTACTTTTACTTCCTGCTTGATTTTCACTTCAACTTAATACCTTAACTCATTCACATAAATTCCACGGGTCGTATATGGCTGTCGAAATGAGCGATTTGGAGGCTGTGGCTCAGTTTTGAGCATCTCATCTGACGATATGGTAGACACAGGAGAACCATTTGAAGTAAGCTAGAAAATGTTTTCCTTTGGTTTTTAGCTACGGTACTGTGCTGTGCCTAGCTCCATTACTGTGCTTTGATAATATTATGCATCAGTTTAAGAGGACTCAGATGAAAGCTGATCAGAAGTCAAGTAAACTTGACTTAACAAAAAAACAATGGAAAAAAAATTAAGTCTTTAAAGAAAAGAAAGTTGAGGAAAAGCCTGATGACAGTCTTAAAATATTTAAAAGGATGTATCAAAGAGGAAAGGAAAGAATTATACTTATCAAACGAGGTAAGGAATAAATGTGTCTAAAAGATGTGTAATACTTAGAACAGTAAGTGTATGCTGCAGGAAGACATGAGGGGAAAATTATTTTAAACTGCAGAATGTACAAACATAATATAATAAAGGTCAAGTAACAGCAACTTACTAAGTTACTGTTTTTTAGCTGAGCCACTGGAAATTATTTTATTTTTGCTCCCAATCTATCCATATATGAGGTAAAATGCATTAGCTTAGGTTTACTTCATATAGTTCAAATCCCAAAATAAATATGGACTGCAAAACTAGCAGAGGAGATTTAGCTTGCGTGTTGGGAAACTTTCTGAACAGTAGGGATACTGAAGGACTGGAACGGAGTGTCTGGGGAGAATGAGGCATCTTTGTCATTTAAGAAAGGCTGGACAAGCATTCAGTATAGTATATGTAAATGTAGACTTTTTACAGCGTTATACTAGTATACCTATATACCTATACCTACATATAGGTAGAGAGTCTTTATAGCATTATATTTATTACATTAGACACAGTTGCAGATGATTCTGCCTTACACAAGAATACTGATTAGGTTCCTAGGTTCTTTTCCACACTTAACATTTATGATTTAATGAATGTAAAAAACCAAATAATATATTTCAGTATTGTAAGTAAGCACTAAAGGCTCAAGGCTCAGAAAGAATTTCAGTCAGCAAGGCGATACTGTTTGGCAGTCCAGTGTAAATATATTAAGTGTCTTTCTGTCAAGGGTGTTTGTGAGACTAGCATCTGAATTAACTTGTATAGTCCGTATTGGGACAGTGTTCATTTGCCAACATTGGCATGTGCTATTTATTTTTTCTATATGTTCAGAATAAAGAGAGAAGATTCTTGCTACTACAAATCCTTCCTTTGTTTCTATAGGCGACTGCAGTGGGATGTATAGGTGTAATTATTTTCTAGTATGGGTGAAGATTCATTTAGCCTTAGTGACATTTAAGTACTTTGTCACTGAAGTTCATGGCCTGGAAAAATATTTTGGAAGGGCCAAAGGGCCTGAGAGGTGACTGTTAGGAATAAAGAATAGGTGTGTGGATGAATGTTTTCTGGTAGGAATCTTATCTACAAATACCTAGGTGGGTATCTCTTCCATTTCCAAGTGCTGGAGGAGTATATGGAGTAAGTTTGAAACACATTAATAAGAAAGAAATTGGAGATTGCTTAAAAATTTCATGTAAGTTACTAAGAAAGTTTGTTTTGCCTAACCTTGTTAGGGAAATTACTTACTAAGCCTCAACATAGTATTTTTCAAATGTATTAGATATTCAACCTGAAAAGGAGATTTTCTGACCCCCAAATAGTTAAAGGTACATATTAAATTAGTGAGATAGACAGTACAGTTGTTTACAGTTATTCTGTACTTAAAGCATTATTGTGAAGCATAGAATATGTTGTGCTCATGAACATTGTTCTAACTTTGACAGTGCATTTCTGGCTATCGTGCCAAAGAAGCAGTGGAAATGTTAAAAGCTTTCTACAGACAAGAAAATCCCAATGGTATGTTTCACATTAGTGGATCCATTTTGATCCCAACCTAATTTAAAAGAATGATGGCACTGGTATTACTGTAATTCACTTCTGATTTTTTTTCCTCCCTTTTGGTTTCTTCTTGGCAGCACCAAAATCAAAAGTACGGAAAAAGGACCATCGTAATTAGCTCTATACTGATGGGAGACAGAAACTTACCAAAAACTATCAGTGAAGGTTTCTTCAGTGTCATTGTTTTTTAAAATGTACAATCCAATTAAACTATGTCTGATGTTCTGTACAGAGTTTTTATTAATAGGATACTTACTACCTGTTACTGCATTTCTATGTATGTGATTTCTTGTTATCATACATGACCAAACAGAAGAATAAGCATCTGTTTCTAAAAATGGGAAAATTTATGGTTCAGGTTCACTTGTTCACAGCCAGATGGATCCATTAAAATGATGCCATTCTGTGCAGCACATATTTTCTTTCCTTCTGTCTGTGGAGAAGTATCTTGCTTTTCAGTAGTAAGTGTTTGCTTAGGTAAGTAAATCTCTTGGAAGGTTACGTGTGTAAGACCTTCACAGTCCTTGTGTGTATATTTAATCAAAAGGCATGTAAGAAATTGTACAGTCCTTGAAGACTTGAGATAAGGCCATTGTAACAGTTCTTCATTGTTTTTTACACACCCTCTAGCATAAGCCAAGTTTCCAAACATAGCTTCTGAAAGTCACATATGTGTGTAGACAGGTATATATGCAGAATCGCATGTCTCAGTTTGTGTATGCTATTGCTAGTAAGCATAAGCAAGCATCACTTGGCTGCACAGCATCTTCATACAAAGTTGTGGAGAAACTCTCCACACAACTCTTTTTAGATTGTCCACTCCTCTTGTGAATATTAGCATAAGAAATGCTTTATCATTAATAATCTGCTAAGAAGTTGAAGTCATCCTAAAGTTACTAAACCTATGTGAGATGGGCAGATACATGTGGGATGGGGCTCTGAGCAACCTGATCTAGCTGAAGATGTCCCTGCTTACTGAAGGGGGTTTGGAGTAGATGAACTTTAAAGATCCCTTCCAACCCAAAGATTCTATGATTCTATGTGAAAACCAGGAAATGAAATTGGTAATAGTATGAAGGAAATATCTTTGAGATATTCATCTTTTCATAGTGCTGGTTGTCTTTGTCATTTCCGTATACTTTGCTTGGCCATGCAGTAATTTATAATCCAGAAGAGGGCCTTACAGTTCCACTAATGAATTAAGACTACAAGTACTGTTGAATCTTTATTATATACCTCTTAGTGGATACTTATCTTAAGCATGAGACTGTTTGTATTTTATTCATGAAACTGTTTGTATTTTATTCAGCTCATATTCAGAAATTTGAGAAATGCCTTAACTTTTTTTTTTAATGTAAAAGAGTGGTTACAATTCTCTGACTATAAAAACTGAATACAATTAAACCTTTTAGATACTTCAAATAAATACTTTCAAAAAGTGTTTTTTGAAAGAGCATTAAAAGCATTACTTTGTGACCATTGCTCCTAATAGCTTAGGATTTGTATTTTGTGTATTTACTTATTGTAAATATATTATGGTAAAATGCTTCTGCGGAGTGGCTAAGAATGCTTTTCTTCCCCACTGCCTTCTTTCAAAGACGCATTTGGATACTGTGACAGTAGGAACCATGTGAAGAAGTAGAAAAGTTACTGGCAGTAGGACAAAACACACTTTTAAACTGTGTCAAATTCTGCAATGCTTAAGTGGAACAGAAATATTTTGTACCAGGAGTCAGCGGTAACTTGTCACTTAGAAAACAGTTTAAGTCCTGCTCAAAGCTGAAGGAAACTGAAGAGGGTGACAAAATTTTCTGTAAAGAGAGATCAAGGGTAATAATGTGCATCTTAGAAGAGGGACAAGAAAGAGGAGTAGCATAGCAAACTAAAAGCTAATATATTACCGAAAGGTTATAAAAGATGCTTTTGTTAACTATTTAGCGTAGTCTACCCCAGTCCAGTATTGAGAGGCACAGTTGGATGCGTGGTTTCTTAAGTACAATACTTCATCAGTTGGGGAACAGACTGCTAGAAGATTATAGTGAAAACAGAAATTTAGCCCGTTTTCCTTAAAGTCCTATTGCGCGATTAAGCACAAATGCAGCTACATGGGTATTTTTATAAAGACGGAACTTAACTTGTGTTGGAAGACAAACCGCTCATCAGAGCCATGGCATGGCATCTGGACACCTGGCACACGTGTGGCCATCTCCTTGCCCGCAGGCCGTGCTGCCCTCCTTCCCGGCCAGCGGCCGGGCTCCCCCCGCGGGACCACAGCTCTGGCAGCAGGAGCCCATGGAGGCCAGCCCTGTTGGCCTCCACTTGCCGCTGCCCTCGGAAGTGTGCCTGGGGCAGTTCTCCCTGTCTGATGTGCTGCAGCTCTTCCTAACCATGAGGTTTGTCAGTGCTGTTTAGAGTCAGATTCACGACCTCGAGTGCTCCACAAGAAATTACAGAGATCCTGGGCAGAAGGCTCTAGGCTCAGGCTCAGAGAAACCACTCCATGGCTAAGCTCAGCGCAGGGGCTGGGGAAGATGGCAGGAAGCAGCCATGACAGTTACAACCCCATGAGCTGACTGGTTTCAGTGCTCCAGATCAGAAAATGAACTTAACAAGAAAGAGGATTGGTGCATACAGAAAGAAGAATGTCAGAAAAAGACTTGAACTGTTCTTGGAACGCTGGTTCAGCGAGGAGGAGATGGTTGCTCGCAACTGTGGAAGCATAGGCTTGGTTTGTAGCTGGTGCTACCACATAAAACCCTGCAGCAAGCGAGGCCAGAGGCACCCCGGGAATCAAGAGCTGATGGGTTGTGCAGCCTGGAAGAAGTGCTGCAGTGTGCTTGCTGGGGACCTAGGTCTCGGGCTTTGGCTCTAGCCCTAAATAAAAGAGTGTCAAGAGCAATGACTTTAATTGTTACTGCCACCTGGAAAATGCAGAGCAGCAGCTTGTCAGTGATGCTGTTCATTTTCACAGTGCTTTCACTTATTTTTATCTATTTGTGTCTAGGTTGCCACACAGCAGGCCTCAAGAGCAGGAGTAAATATATTCAACTGGTTTATTTAAAGACATGGAAATGCTTCGCATCACCATTTTTCCCTTGCTGCTTGATAAATAAATGCGTAGGCTTCAGCATTACATTTACCTTGGACTGTGTTTTTGCCAGTTCATCATAGGCAAACATGATTTTATTTCAGCCTTTGGTTTGCTTGTCAATAGTCTGACATCAAAATATATTGAACCAGCTAGGAGGGCAAGGAAGCAAAACAACATGGCTTTGTCTTTGCTAAACCGATTACAATTGACAATCCAAGGCTATAATAAATATGTCTTGTGACTTGCACACTAGAGGAGAGCCTGAATGTAAATTATAGCTTTGGGTTTTGAAATGCTCACTGATCCATTCCATTCCCATTAAGAGTGCCTTCCGCTCTGCGAAATTAAGTGATATCTTTACATGACAGTTTAATTTAATTAATTTATTTTTCAATATGTACATTTATGGAGTTTCTCCATTAAGCTTTTGAAATGTCTGTAGGTCCTATGCCTTAATGTAAATGCACCATGGCCCATAATTACCTTTGGCAGACTTAGGGCACTGATAAAAAGATTATATTTTTAAAAACTAAAGTCTTCAAACTTCCCCAGTGCTTGGCAGGAAATCTATTTCTGTGTTTTATTTGGAGCAAGGCTGAGGAGCCTGCAGCCAACAACTCCAGTGTAGGCAGTAACTGTTAACATTTTAGAAGAAAATACATTTGACACTAAATGGGAGAAGAGGAGAGGAAGACAATTAGTGTGAGAGTACTAGAAGCATCTGTTTGTTTGTTTTGCCTCGTGGCTGCCAATATATACTCTTATCATTAAAGTGCATCTAGAAACAGGGTATTTTCTATGAAATTACTTCACAAAGCATGGATCTTTGTCTTTTTAAGGGGCTGCCCCAAAGTGAGTTTATCTTCCTTTTTCACAATAGCTATGCGCTAGCCAAGAATGCCGGATTCTCCCCTTGCCTCCTCCTTCCTCCTTTCTAAAAATGAACTTTTCAGGGAAATAAGGAATTCGGAGAAGTTTGAAGGAGAGCAGATGGCCAACAGTGATCCAATAGGATGTAAAACTTCAGTTAGGTAGTCGCTTGGCAGGCAAGTACAAGTGAGCCCGTGATGTTTCCATAGTGATGTTTTCACTATGGTGCCTTCCTTTTGTCTTTTAAAAAAATCTAAGTGATTAAAAAAGGGGGGGGGGGGTTTAAAATAAAATGAAAGGCTCTGTAGACCTGAACGTTTAGCGTGGCACAATTAACTGCCCTTCCCAGGGGTAGCAACTTGGGCTCATTGCTGCTTTCTGGCTGAAGAGTGATGCACTGACCTCAGCCACGGTCGCACTCGCCTGCTGTGGTGCTTGTGGGGCTGCCTCTGTTGCTGGATAAAGCAGGGGCAACTTCTGAAATTAAGATATGGCTCAGATTGTAGTGCTCTTGCAGGGGAAATTGCTCAGGCACTGATTTTTCTAGTGTCAGGCTTTCACATTTACCTATGAGGCAAGGTTTGCCGTGGCATTTCTCTAACCTTCAGAGCTTTCTCTGTGTGCAAGGAGGCAGCGTAATAAAAATTGACGCTTCCCATGACTTTGATTCCTACTTCCTCTTTTGAAGTCTGAAAGGTAGCCATTACAGTCACATTAATTTGTGAGGATATAAACCACCGCCATTATCAGTGCAGCCACATTGTGCAAGAGAAACAAGATTTGTAGGGAGAGGCAATATCTTTTATTAAGCCAAACGATACAGTTAGAAAACAACCAGCCGTAGGGACACCGAGTTCAAAAGCTTACTAGCTTTTTCCACACACCTAATGGAAGTAAAACAAAAATAAGTACATGTTTGTATATACCACCTCCCTGCAAACCTTGCTTTTCTCAAAAAAAAAAAAAAAAACTTGACAAATTTGAGGAGGAAAAGAGGTTGTAGAAGACTGGTCTTGTAGTAAACTCTGCCCTTAACTCCGCAGCAGAGCCCCTCTGCTGCCTCTGCACAGAGGTGTTGGCCTGTGTGCCAGCACTTTGTGAAGACCCAACACAATTGTCCCTTCCCAAAAGCCCCCCAGCAAGGTACTGAATGCAGC